GCTCTCCGTTCACAGTATTGCTTTCAGCGTTCACCGTGCGCTCGCGTTCACCGTTCACAAAGCGTTCAGCGTTCGCTCTTCGTTCGTTCAGTATATGTGTTCACCTTGCGTTCCGCTATCACTTATCGTTCAGTCTTCACTGTCATTTGGAACTCCAAAGTGAAAGGACTTAACTTTTTGTACAGCTTTTGCAATTTGATAATTAACATCGTGTTTAAAAGAATCATTATTTCATGGAAAATCTACAATATTTTTTTTTTATTTTTGTAACTTAGCTATTAGGTTATTCATTAATTTACTCTGGAAAATAAATGCTGTTATAAGTATGTACCTATGTAGAACGATACTGAAAAATTAAATTTAAATACAGGCAATATACAGATACTTTAAGCACTGCAACATTTGGTTGTTTTGTCAAAGACGACAAATCGTTAATGGAGAGATAATAATCCAAGTCAGTTAATTTACCAACTGCAGTAAAACTATGAAAATATTTATTTCTACCACTTTTTCAATTATTATGGAAATAAATTTTAAAACTGGTTCTAGATCTGAGAATTATAAATAGTACTGCGGATATCCACTTAATTAAATATCTTTGGAGCAAATAAAATTGATAGTGTTGTTTAAAAGAATATTTAAAAATATAATACACTACAATTTTTTTTCTACTTAATATATATATATATATGAAGTCTATAGTTAAAGAGAAAAAAAATCCTTCCTTCATGATCACCGTAACTTTATATGTTTGAAATTCAATATCTTTAAGAGCCCTTTTTTCTCTTAATCCTCTTAATCCGTTGCTTAGTAAATATTTCCAGTAATATTAATTAACATTTAAAAAGAAGTTTATGCGTTTTGCAGCACAAAAATTCGAGTCTCAAAACATACATGCATCTAAAGAAGTCATTAAACAATTGTATTTCAAATATACACGTGCCGGCGATGGTATTTTAAAATTGCAGGGAGTATATATGTTTCACATTCAGGCGGCTGAATCATTCCAAGTGTTTATTCCCATGGGTCAATGTATTTTATTTATTTATCTATTTAGAAAACTAGAAATGATAAAAAAATTGTTTAAACTTCTTGGAAATACTAGCACTTCGTCTTCGTTGTGACGAGACTTTCAAACCTGCACACTTGCACAGTGTCGAACGATTTTGATTGACAGGACAAGCACGTGGACTTCGTGTGAACTTGAAGCAGGAAAATAAATCTAAAAACCGATTCTGACTGTTGAACAAAAAGATTTTTCATTTAAAAAATGGTTAATTTCACTGCCTGATATATTTAGAAAAAAAATTAAGAATTTTTCGTTTGATACAGGTACAAACTTTTCGAGGGGGCAAAAACGGAAAATTTCTCTCTCTCTCTCTCTCTCTCTCTCTCTCTCTCTCTCTCTCTCTCTAATTTGTCTGTTTGATAAAACCATCACAGCATATTACATTTATACATGTATCAAGTTCTGAAAATCAAATCTATAACAAATAATATGAATACCTCTTTGTATCATCTTGTCCGAGTATAATCACTGGGAAATGTTTACAGATACATGTAGAAGTCTGCTCAATAAATCATCATAAAAAATAGAAATGACATATATTATTACATTAAAATTTTAAAATGCGAATTTATGTAATACGTCCACGGACCTTTGTAAAAAAATTTATTTTTTTAACTCGATATTTTACACGGAATCGCCTTGGCACGGAAATGCCTGTATGGTTGTTACAACCGTCGTAATTCATTCTACAAGTCAGTATGTAGTTTTCCCATCTAAAATCCACATTATTTGTTATGATTTTACATGTATATATAAGATAAGAACAAATATTTTTACTTTTCAACTAGAATAATTTTATCTTTTATACTACAGTGTTCGGTAACAATTACAATGTTTTACAGCGATAAAAATCGTGTGATTAAAAAAAGTTTTAACATCATACATATGTGCAGAAAATATGATAAGAAACTCAATTTAATATTTTTACTTAATGTGTATATATCGTCTTTCTTAAAGCAATGTTGGAACATTTATTTTATTTATTTATTCATTGATTTGTTTATTTATTTATTTTTTGGCATCTGACATAAGAATACAGTAGAATAGTTTCAATGCAAGGAAAAGATCAGAAGCATTCCGAATAAATCGTTCATCTTGCGTACACCGTTCACTTTGCGCTCGCGTTTGCGCTCCGTTCGCGTTCTGCGTTCGTTCACCGTTCACCAACCGTTCACCTAGTTGCGTTCAGCGTTCACACATCGTTCACTCACCATTCGCTCTGCGTTCGTTCAGCGTTCGTTCACCGTTTGCTCTCCGTTCAAGTGGGAAAGTAGAACGTTTCAGGGACTGTAATTGTAATGTAACGTTGATTTTACTATCAAACAGGTCTAGCTCTCTATTGATATATGCATGGATAAATGGATCATAGCAGTGTTTAAGAGAAAATTAATATTGGTTTCATCCCTCTACTTTTTTTGTAAAAAGTTATAATTGCAAACTTTGAGACATATGTGTATGCAGCGTTTCCAGTTTTATATAGAAGGTATTGGGTATATATAATTTTCATTGTAATTTTTTTTTTAGTTTTTTAAATTTTTCTAAACATTCTCAAAAAAGCGAAGTTTATCAAGTTAATCAACGAAACTTGAGATTGTAAAGTAATCCTTATATTACACGCTAAAAATTCAACATTCTGTTAGTCATTTCAAACGGAGTAAAGGGAGAAACTGTGCAGTTAAAGACAGTAAAAAAATGCAATAAAAAAATCTAATAAACATCCGCGGTGAAAGTTAAATATATTGAAGTGCGACTATTGGGGTGAGAGCACAACTAGAACTGCCTCTTCAAATCGCGCAAGACATTTGGAACGTTTAGGCTGTGACGTCACTTGACGTTTTATGTTTTAGTAGCATTCTGAAAGTCAAAAAATTGTAAACTTTATCCATGAACGTTTAATCTTCTTTCTATATGCAATATCCATTAAATCAAGTTGATTTTTTTTTGTGTGTGAACTTTTTTGGTTTTCACAAAAACATCGTTCCTGTGGTAATAATTACGTAGATAGAACAAGATGCATTTGCAGTTCATTGTTGGTCTCGGTGTTATTGTGGAAGAAAAATTCATATGATCAAATTTGCTAAGGCGTTGTTTTTAAAATCAAGCAGCGTAGAGCGATGCTTCGAACCGTTTGCCGTACTCGCTATTATTCCATCCCACAAAAGACCCCGGGGAGCAGTGTTTGAAATGATTCCCCTGATGTAAAACAAGAGAGTGACACTTGATCACTCTGTCAATGTTTCAATAAAGATTCAATCTTTAATCAAGTCTGTCTATGTGATCAGCTACACGGTATGTTTTAATATTCCAAGTTCAGTTATCAATAAATGGTTTTTATATATAAATAGAAAAGCTGCCTTAATTAAAAAGTGAAAAGTTCAACACTACCCCGGGGATAATTAATTTCTATGTGTAATTATAGTTATGTAAAATCAACTCTGAACCGTGAAAAGTGCTGCTAAAATCCTATACTCCTATCACAAAAATAATCATATCACACTTTCGGATGAAACCTTACCAAACTTTTTACATTTTGAACATAAGATTGTAACAAATACGTCAATTCCTGTTAACCACACGATTCTAGCAGCAATATCCAAAAAATATAGAATAAAAGCAAAAATTATATTTCAAAATATGCGGCGTAGTGTTGAACTTTTGCATCTTTGTGGTAAAGAACGACAGAGGAAAAGCTGATTGGAATGTAAAAACACTGTCTGTCTTCATTATACAAAGAAATTGTAAAAAAAAAAAAAAGCGTACCTTATTCATAAACCTTAATTCCGCAAGAACCACACATGATATTCATGTTAAATGCTTTAAAACTCTGATTTCATCTTTTTGTTTACTTAAATTCTCGTAATGTTTCATTTTCACTCTTCAAATATTGATCAACAGTTATGACGTCATGGGTTTGGTATTTAACCCCTGTGACAAATACATAGCTTTTTATACTACCTTGAAACGACAATATTTTGTTTATATTAATCTCTTGCATGTTTCCATTCCTTTTTAGGTCCTCAAATCAATCTTTTAATATTGATTTTAAAAAATTGTTATCACTAAAGTTCACGTCATATAGCTTACTATGACGTAATATTGTAGAAGTAAGTAGCATATCTGGATGTAGCCTTAACATACCTGCGCTGCGTGCTGTTATAAAATCAAATAACATAGCTTTTGTTTTGAAACTTTCATTTGATAAACAAAATGTAGGCGAGGGATGATGCTTTATACATGTATTTATATATTCAACAACAATAACCAAATAAAAAAAATCAAATTTTTAGACTTTTTCTGTTGAAATTTCATAGTTTTATCACACTAAGATTCAACAAAACAGGAACCTTTATATTAATGCACCTTGATATATAAACCCTTTTCTAGGATAAAGATGAGGGTCAATTTATCAAAAGGGAAAATCCGATATTCATTGCAGCCCTTATGAGCTTGTTAATAAATTAACACTGAAATTTATTGGTAATTCTGAACCCTTCCTCGTCTGAACTTACAACACTTTAGGATCTATCACAAAGGCTTTCTCACAACAGGTAGGAAATATAAAAGACCAGATTGTTTGATAGAATAAAATATGTATGTTAGAGGGGAGGGGTCTAAAAAGTTTTCATAAGTAATATAAATGTGAGAAATGTGTGTGTGTGTGTGTGAGAGAGAGAGAGAGAGAGATGGGGGTGGGGCAAAATGTAGTAATTACTCATGCATATACTTTTTTCCCTTTACATTTCTGGTCGTTAGTTAAAACACACTATGCCTTATGGGCAACCCTTTTCATAGATTTTGGTTCGTGGTAATTTGTTCAAACGACGGGGTCCAAAGTCTTTTGTGGCTTATATGGATAACTAAGAAACATTGAAATTCTTAACCCTACCTCTGTTAAAGATACACCTCTGCTGGATCCACCACTGAGCCTCTCTCACGACATGGAGGACACACAGTAGACCAGACTGTTAAATAGAGAAAGAGAGGTAAAATGTAGTACATATTTTGTATAAACTCTTATACGTATTACATATAGCATTCCTGCCGTAAAGACTTAAGAGAACAGAAATTATCCCACCTGTTACGACGTTGTTGGTCTCTTCTTCTTCCTTCTTTTGAAGATATTAGATATCAAGCTGGAGCGGATGTATACAACTTAGTTACAACTTCTGACTTCAGAGGAAGACTACCTAAAAACAACTGCACACACACAAAAAAACTTGATCAACAAAAACTGAATAAAAAAAGCAGGGCACTAAAGTAAATCAACGGCACATAAACGCAAATATCAAGTCAAATGCATACAACAACAATAATCAAATAAAGTGTACACAAAAGTAAATATCAAAGGGACTGCAAACGAAAAAAAGAAACCCTTATATTTATGCACCTTGATTTATAAACCCTTCTATGATAAAGGGGAGGGAGCAATTTTCCAATGAGGGAGATCCGATATTCTTTGCAGTCCTTATGAGCTTGTTTATAAATTAACATTGAAATTTGTAGGGAATTCTGAACCCTCCCTCGTTTGAACTTACACCACTTTAGGATCTATCACAAAGTCTTTCTCACAACAGGAAGGAAATATAAAAGACCATATTGTTTAACAGAATAAAATATGTTTGTTGGAGGGAAGGGGTCTAAAAAGTTTTCATAAGTAATAAATGTGAGAAATGTGTGTGTGAGTGTGTGTGTTTGTAAGAGAGAGAGAGAGAGAGAGAGAGAGAGAGAGAGAGAGAGAGAGTAATAATGTGAGAAATGTGTGTAAGAGAGAGAGAGAGAGAGAGAGAGAGAGAGAGAGAGAGAGAGAGTTCTCATGCATATACTTTTTCCCTTAAAATTTCTGGTTATCGTTTTGATCACACTATCATTTATAGGAAACCCTTTCCAAAGATTTTGGTTCGAGGGTAATTTGTCTATACGAGGGGTCGAAAATGTTTTGTAGCTTATATGGACAACTAAGAAACATTGAAATTCTTTATTTTACCTCTGTTGAAGATACACCTCTGCTGGATCCACCACTGAGCCTTTCTCACGACAGGGAGGACACACAGTAGACCAGACTGTTAAATAGAGAAAGAGAGGTAAAATATAGTAAATGTATATTGTATTCACTGTGTTACGTATTACATATAACATTTCTGTCGTAAAGAATTGAGAGAACAGAAATTATCCCACCTGCTATGACGTTGTTGGTCTCTTCTTCTTCTGAAGATATTAGATATCAAGCTGAAGCGGATGTATACAACGTAGTTACAACTTCTGACTTCAGGGGAAGACTACCTAAAAACGACTGCACACACACACACAAAACTTGATCAACAAAAACTGAATAAAAAAGCAGGGATACTAAAGTAAATCAACGGCACATAAACGCAAATACCGTAAATATGGAAAGTTTTACGTCGATTTATTTTAGCGCATCTGGGTCAATAAGGTGTTGATTAATTTTTTACGTTTTAAAATTTTGCGAATCGTCATTGGCGCTAAAAATAAAAAGCGCTTAAAATTTTCATAACAGTTCATAAGTTACGCATGTGGAATAAATTTTGCATGTACATGCCATCTTTCTTTCGTTGGATTTCATTATACACGAGACTATGTTCCCCGGTAAGATTCTGTCGTGCTAGGGATTCGTTGTTAGATAAAACAACAGGCCTTTCTTTCTTGGAGAAATAATTTAAAAGAGACATACTGCCTGTCAAACCATCAGACGATATTGAATGTAGTTATTGTCACGGGTAACTTGCTTGTAGTATAAAAAGATATCTTGAAATGATCATTGCTTATGAACACCTGTTCACCGGGTTAAAAATAGACATCAGCTGTCAGCAGTATTTTTATTTATATTTTTTGTTGTTGATTTATTTTTAAGAAAAATATTTTGCGAATGCAATGCAAGCGTAAATTTGCTAAAAATTTATCTACAGCAAAAATTTCCAGATTTATGGTATCAAGTCAAATGCATACAACAACAATAATCAAATCAAGTGTACACAAAAGTAAATATCAAAGGGACTGCAAACGAAAACAGAAACCCTTATATTTATGCACCTTGATTTATAAACCCTTCTATGATAAAGGGGAGGGAGCAATTTTCCAATGAGGGAGATCCGATATTCTTTGCAGTCCTTATGAGCTTGTTTATAAATTAACAGTGAAATTTGTAGGGAATTCTGAACCTTCCCTCGTCTGAACTTACACCACTTTAGGATCTATCACAAAGTCTTTCTCACAACAGGAAGGAATTATATAAAAGACCATATTGTTTAATAGAATAAAATATGTTTGTTGGAGGGAAGGGATCTGAAATGTTTTCATATGTAATAAATGTGAGAAATGTGTGTGTGAGTGTGTTTGTAAGAGAGAGAGATAGAGTAATAATGGGAGAAATGTGTGTAAGAGAGAGAGAGAGAGAGAGAGAGAGAGAGAGAGAGAGAGAGAGAGTTCTCATGCATATACTTTTTCCCTTAAAATTTCTGGTTATCGTTTTGATCACACTATCATTTATAGGAAACCCTTTCCAAAGATTTTGGTTCGAGGGTAATTTGTCTAAACGAGGGGTCGAAAATGTTTTGTAGCTTATATGGACAACTAAGAAACATTGAAATTCTTTATTTTACCTCTGTTGAAGATACACCTCTGCTGGATCCACCACTGAGCCTTTCTCACGACAGGGAGGACACACAGTAGACCAGACTGTTAAATAGAGAAAGAGAGGTAAAATGTAGTAAATGTATATTGTATTCACTGTGTTACGTATTACATATAACATTTCTGTCGTAAAGAATTGAGAGAACAGAAATTACCCCACCTGCTATGACGTTGTTGGTCTCTTCTTCTTCTTTTGAAGATATTAGATATCAAGCTGAAGCGGATGTATACAACGTAGTTACAACTTCTGACTTCAGGGGAAGACTACCTAAAAACGACTGCACACACACACACAAAACTTGATCAACAAAAACTGAATAAAAAAAGCAGGGATACTAAAGTAAATCAACGGCACATAAACGTAAATATCGAGTCAATTGCATATACAGCAACAATAATCAAATCGAGTTTAAGTTAATATCAAAGGGGCTGCAAACGAAGGTAAGCATCAAATGACGGCACACAAAAGTAAATGTGAAGTTGATTGCCCACAAAACGTAAAAATATCGAGTCGACAGAAAAAAATAATATCATATCGGTTGCCAACAAAATATCACATCAATCGCACACAGAAAGTTAATATCAGGTCACTGGATACAAAAGTAAATATCAAATCGACAACACAAAAAAAAAAAAAAATAAATAAAATTTAGTCCACTGCACACAAAAGGGAATGTCAAACAGCACTGTTTACTGTGACACGACTGATAGAAATAAAATTGTATCTCTTCTTTTTTTCCTAATGAGAAAATGTTTCCTCGTTCTTAATCACCGATCTTAAATACATGCTACTGATAAATCTCTTACAAAAATATACTAAAATTAACTATTGTTTACAATATCTAACTTAAGTTTACTAAAGTATTGACATTTTAACTATAGTTAATTCAAGTTTTTACCAGATTATATCAGAGTATTTTACGAAAAATTTCAAATTGTTGCATTTTATTATTATTTTTTTTTTGTTTCCTTTCTTGATATGTAAATGCTTATTATAAAAAAGCTTGAAAATAATGAAGTGCATAGAAAAAATTAAATTAAAAAAAAATGTGTGAATTATTTTTAAGTCCATTATACCAAAAACATTATTTATTTTGTTAGAAAAAAAAAAATATACATGCAACGTCTCAAATGTCTTACGTGGATTACTTTCGTTACCTGTTGATGCTTCATTATCATATGCTGAAACTACAAAATTATATGCTGATATTACAACATTATATGCTGATGCTCCAACATTATATGCTGAAACTACAACATTATATGCTGATACTTTAACATTACATATATGCTGAGACTACATCATTATATGCTGAAACTACATTATATGCTGAAACTACAACATTATATGCTGATAGTTTAACATTACATATATGCTGAAACTACATTATATGATGAACCTACATTATATGCTGAAACCTCAACACTATATGCTGATACTTTAGCATTACATGCTACATAATTATATGATAATGCTTTACCATTGTTTGCTGATATTTTTACCTTATCTGATGATTCTTTGAACAACACAATATGATGATATTTCAACATAATATGCTCTACTTTATCATCACAAATTTGCTTACACTTTATACGCTGATGCTACAATAGGGTTTGCTGATACTTTAACATTGTATTATGAAACTCATGGTATGCCGCTTAAAAATCATTGTATAATGGTGCTTGAAAAACATCGAATGACACCAGTAATGATATCAGATACTGTGCCAACGGTGGTATTGTCTTTGTTTGTAAGGCTCCTTATTTTTAATGTATTTTAGAAAAATTCTGATTTAATTCTACAAATAGTAATCCATCTTATACCCATACCTCCCTTTCCAAAGAAGAAATTCTTTAAAATTATATTTGAATATTTTTAATATTCCGAACAACCAAAAGGAATTTGGATCACAATATCGGTAGTGGATTTCGAAACTTTATAAAAATCCGTACAAACAAAGATACATAGCGGGTTCCCATAAATGTTTTACTAAGCTTCTTTCTTTACTCCTTACTAGAATATTTACATCATTACATGTATTCATATGATGGAGAAGTTATTTTAAATCCTATGCATGAGAAGGAAAAAAAAACACTTGCAGTGGCCTGCAACTCGATATTTAGATATATCGACGACGTATTATCAATTAACAATAGTTATTTCCTTTCATTTGTCGACGCGATATATCCCAGTATGTCTGAATTTAAAGATCCCACAGAGTCTGACACATCTATTTTATATCTGGATATTTTACTTGAAAAAGACGCCAATGGTAACATAACAATAAAGCTTTATGATAAACGTGATGACTTTAACTTTTCAATCGTCAACTTCTCGTATGCAGCAAAATACCCATTGCACCTGCATTCGGGGTTTATATCTAATATCGGATATCGGATGGATATCGAATATCTGAAACATAATCCTCCATCGTGTTCATGTTCTCCTTCGCCCTATAACTATAGTCCTCCAGGCTTTTACTGATGAAGTAAATATAGTTAATAATGAGGACCTTAGATCACTCATTTTAAAAGGTCCTAAATTTAGGGAACCCCGATCCTTCAACTGGCGTCGGAATTTCATAAATATTATGGATTCTGTAGAGGACTACGCCAGGCGATGGACCAGACATGAAAAAGAAGACCTTGACACTTTGTCAGAATGGATTAAATGTATCGTATGTATGAAGAAATCGCACATTAAAAGATTGAGGGGCAACATGAAAACTATGTATCCTTCTGTATTCAATAATCCAGAAGTGAAAAAAGAATTAGATTACATGATCAGTATGTACTGGTCCCTGCTGACAAAGCATGTAACAACATTGTCTTTGTTTGTAAGGCTCATTATATTAAATGTATTTTAGAGGAACTTGGATTTAATTATACAAGTGGTAATCCAACTTATAGTTCCCTTTCTAAGGATGAAATTCTTCAAAATCATATGTCAGTTTTGAATATTAATATTTTTAATATTCCAAACAACATAAATGAATTTGAATTACCATATTTATATTGGATTCCGAAACTTCATAAAAATCCTTACAAAGATACATAGCGGGTTCCAATAAATGTTCAACCAAACCTCTTTCTTTACTCCTCACTAAGATATTAACAGTGGTGAAGGAGAAACGTCAAGAGTACTGTGCAACAATATATTCGAGAAGTGGTGTAAATAGATGTGGATACTTAAAAATTCCAAGGAACTTTTGGAAAATTTGAAATCACAAGTTTTTACCAAAATCAACAGCTTGAAAATTTAGGACTTTTCAACTTTATATATAACCATTCCCCACGATAAATTAAAGTCCAGGCTTTTTGATATCATTGACAGTTGCTTTTTCAATAAAAATGGAACTCGTAAATATACTTACCTTGTCATTGGTCATTTGCAAAATTATTTTGTTAAAAAACATTCTGATTGTACACACAAGTACTCTGACGTTGACATTAAAAAGATGCTTGAGTTTCTGATTGACAATATCTATGTGGTTTTTGGAGACCAGGTCTTCCAACAATCTATTGGAATTCCCATGGGTACCAATTGCGTCCCGTTATTAGCAGACCTTTTTTTGTATTCATATGAAGCAGAATTTGTCCAAAATCTTGTACGTGAAAAGACGAAAACACTTGCAGTGGCCTTCAACTCGACATTTAGATATATCGACGACGTATTGTCAATTAACAATGGCTATTTCCATTCTTATGTCGATACAATATATCCTGGTGAACTTGAGATAAAAGATACCACATAGTCTGACACATCTGTTTCATATTTGGAAATTATTTCTTGAAAAAGACGTTAATGGTAATCTAACAACCAAGCTTTATGATAGACGTGATGACTTTAACTTTTCAATCGTCAAATTCCCTTACTTATGCAGCAATATACCTTCATCACCTGCATACGGGGTGTATATATCTCTCAGTTGATTCAATACGCAAGAGCATGCTCTACGTATGTACAATTTCTAAAATCATTGACAAACAAGTTGATGAAACAAGAATATCAACTGTCTCGTTTAAAGTCATCATTTCGTAAGTTCTATCATGGTGAATACAATTCAAGATATTTATTGAGTATTACAGTCCACCGGCCCAAAGTACAATCATATATTAAAATGAGAGATTTACAATTACAGATCAGGCTCACATATTTAAACATATATACATATAGTGTGGGAACATATGAATCATGCTTTTCAATTGTCACATATTAAATTTTCAATGATCTTTTCCCTCTCTTTGAAAGCTAAAAAGGAAAATTTTGCAATATCATTTAAAACTACATCATTTCCATATATAAACATATTCACAGTGTTTTTATAACATCTCAAGTGTTTCAAAATATTACATTTTACTCTAATATCCATACATAATTCACAATTTTCTACAAAGTGCTCTTCATCCTCATAGAAGTTTTACTTGCTATTTGACAAAAGAGACAAAACCTGTTTTCTCTAGGAATACCCTTAAATCGACCATGATCAATTTCCAAACAGTGACTAGAAGTTCTTAATTTAAAAAGTGATTCTCTAAAAGAGTATTGTTTATAACATCTATGTACCTTTCCCGTTCAAAAAGAATTTTGAATTTACAATAAGAATCTAATTTACTATAGGAGCTCAATGATGAGTGCCATTCCTGCATATAGTTATCCTGTACTCTTTGTACAAACTCTTTTAAAAATAATACATTATCACCTACACCTTGACATAGCCATACATAATGGAAACCATATCTAAATAACATTGACTTCACTTCTGATACCCAGTTACCTCTAATTCTACCAACATTGTTTAACTGAAGTAAAAATAAGTAACATCTTTTTGGGTATCTATTATCTTCCATACAAAGTATCTTTAACCAATATGCAATAAATTTCTTAAAGTAGTGTACCATAAGGGAATATCGCCCTAGTTCTCCTAAGACACCTATTTCAGGTGTAATTGTTCTTGAGTCTTAATACTCTTCTACAGAACTTCGTATGTATAGATTCAATACATTTAGATAACTCAAACCCCCATATTTCAGCACCATAAGTC